AAGCCATGGGCTGCAGCTTTTCCAGGAGAATGCCGTGGGAGACAGTATCAAAGGTTTTGCTGAAGTCCAGTCTTCCCTTCATCCTCTAGGCAGGTCACCCAGTCATACAAGGAGATCAGGCTGGTCAAGCAGGATGCCTTTCCTAAAGCCATACTGCCTGAGCCTGATCCCCTGATTGTCCTGTATGTGCCATGTGATGGCACTCAAGATGGTCTGTTCCATGAGCTTCACAGGCACAAAGGTCGGGCTGACAGGCCTGTAGTTCCCCAGATCCTCCTTCCAGCCCTTCTTGTGGGTGGGCGTCACACTGGCACCTCCAGTCATCTGGCATGCCCCTGGTGAACCAGGACTGATGGCAAATGATGGAAAGCGGCTTGAAAGTTCTTCCACCAGCTCCCTCAGCACCCTTGGATGAATCCCACCCTAGTGCCATAAACTTGTGTGCCGCGGTCCAAAGGGGGGATGGGACACGAGGAAGGGTGCAAGCACAATCCTCTATTCAGGCATGCGCACTCTCCTTTTGTCCGCCTGGGAGTGGAACCGCCCAGAACACAGGGCGGAGCATGAGACAGATAAGCAGAGGGGTGAACCAGGATAGGGACACTGGCAAAAAGGGAGAGGAGTGGGGGCAAACTCATGGCAAGCCTGGGTTTGTCCAGGATGTGCACTGTGTAGTGTGAATACAATGAAACCACATAATCACATCAAAGTCCACACGACAAAGTCCCGCCAATTGCTGCATGTTTCTCTCCACACCCGGAACTGTTCCCATCCTGAATCGTGTTCCCTCACACTTGTGAGCAGGTAGGTGGCACATCTGGTCACCAATTACCTCCTCCTGAATTTCTGAGGGTCTGTTCTGCTCCCCCTTGCTGTCTGCCAGCTCAGAGGCCTGGCTGCTCTGAGCATAAGCAGTCTTATTGCTAAAGACTGAAGCAAAGAAGCAACAAAGTACCTCTGCCTTTTCCTCATCCTTTATGACAATGTTCCCCCCTGTGTCCAATAAAGAATGGAGATTTTCCTTGGCCCTTCTCTTGTTCTTGACGTTTTCATAAAAACAGTTTTTATTATCTTTCACAGCACTGGCCAGACTGAGTTGAGCTTTTACCTTTCTGATTTTCTCTCTACATGACCTAACAACATCCTTGTATTCTTCCTGAGTTGCCTGCCCAATGTTCATATATGTATATATGCAAACACTAATGTAATTGAGACTTTTTTATATATACCATTATAACCTCTTCCAAACTCTGACTCTAGGTATCCAACCCCACTTATCCAAAAGGGAAGCCTGTTACCTTTACATCTGCTCACACTCCTCTCTACCTCATAGACATAAACTATCTGTTGCTCTCAAATTCTCCAACTTACTAGTACATTCAGATTAATTGCAGCACAACTATTTCCACAGTAGGCATTGCTTGAAAGCTGTTGCTCTCAAAAAAAATTGATGCACCTGAACATTTGTCGGATTTTGAACATCAACCAGTCTGCAAGAAAAATGCTGCTTCATAAATACTGATTTTGACAAAAGTACTGAAGAAGTATTAGTTAAGCATCATAAACCATCTGAGGGAGGATGCCCACACATGAAAAAAGTAAGAAATCAAAAGGAGCAGCTCCAAAGCAGCCTCTATACTTCCATGCCTCATTGCTGATAAACAGAGGGCCTAATATTGCATAATACTTAATCACTGTTAGAGGACAGTACCTATCAGTTAAAACCTAGGAATATTAACCAGGCTATCCTTCAAAGCATTGCTGAGAAGCAAATCAAGTAAGTATTATCTCATTTTCATGGATTAAAAAGTTGAAACCAAAAGAAATACCTTGGCAAATGGCACAGACTGAACTGGGAATATGCCAGGACTCAGGCTCCAGACAACCCAGCCCAGTATCCTACTCTCCTTGCAGCAGAGCATGTTGCTTTATTGCCATGGCAGATCCCAAATTACTTCAGTTACTGTGGTTAGAACTTGGTAGACCTATAACGCAGGCAGGGACTTGGTGTCTTAGTTTAGAAACTGTGGAAGAGAGGCCATCTGTTCTGTTTGCTATTTTTAACACACTTGTCCAGACTCGGATAAGAAATTTAAGGTGGAAGTGGATCTAATTTCTTGGAAGGCATTCACCTGCCCAGATTCTGACACACTCTCCAGGCTGCCTAGCTTCCTCAAAACACACTAAATGGAGGAAAAGGTCTGCAGATGAGAGGCTTCATGTAATAAATAGTAGATATATATATTTCCTTTCTTAAAGAAACCTGTGTTCTTTGAATATGATCCACATGCTGTATGTTGTTTGCAACAACAACCATTACAGAAAGACTGGTTGTAAATAATCACATAATTTTTCAGTCTTAGCTGAAGAGCAGTATCAATCATGTTTGTAAAGTGTGTCCTAAAGATATTTTCACTTTTCTTAAGCACTGAGTCATCAAGAAGAGGTAAAATGCATAGTGAAAAGCAAAGCCATCTCATATTTGCAATTGCAAATGTAAAAGTTCAGCACTATACTCTGCTCGTTAGTTGAACTTTTCTGAAGTGCTGTATGATCTGTTTTTGCCTCTTTCTTACTTCATGAAATAGATTTCCCTACAAAGAAATTACATGATTCAAATCTTTACATTTACTACCTGTGTGGAATTTAAGAGGCCCGAATATAGCAAAAATCAAGTAAGGAATATATATTACAATCCTACATTTCAATTATGCTAAATGTGGCAGTTTAAGCCACATTAGAAATCTAAAATCCAATTTTCAGGCCTTCCCCCACCCCTTCCCACAATTTATACTAACACCGGAGAGAAACTTTCAGGCCGGAGGCTTCTGTAGGGGAAGGGGAAAGTATCTACATTTATTTACACAAATAAATATACTGTACAAACTAAAAGCAACTATATATATATATTTACATTTCTGTCAGTCCTTTTAGCCCCTCCCTTTAACTTTAGTCCAGGAAGAGCCTTTCAAGGCTGATATGTAACCAATCTCTCTCTCTCGTGGGAGTGTTCTGGGCTCAAACGCTCTGCCCTCACCAAGCTTCCGCTGTTTGTGGCAGTTTTTCTCCTCACGAAGTCCAGGAAGATAGCTTTGAGTCTTTGTTCCACGGTCTGCTGTGTAATCCCTCCCTCTCGGTCTCATACCTTGGTTCGTAGGCTGCTGCAATGTAACTTATCAACGTACGCATCCTGGAATCTTCATTCCTCTAAGTCAGTTTTCAGCTGCCCCCGGTCAGCTTTGGCAGGCAACTCCCAAGCTCTTGGCCCATCTCCAAATTGGACAAACAAAGTAGTGGCACGTCCTTACAACATTGTCTCCCATGTTCTCAATTATACAAAAAAAGCTCAATTGTGTAAGAGGAATACTTGTTCTTATAACAAAACATCCCAAAGTATATTAATTACAGTGGGAACAACTTAGCTCTGTGAACTGCTTAACCACACTGCTGTTAAAATCATGGCTGCATTAAGCCAACCTACTGCTGCTGTGAAAACAACTTACATAACAAGTTTTTCTTCTTCATTTGCCATTTTTCCTACACTTAAACAAAAAAAAAATTTGTGCTACAGTAAGTCTACCGAAAGTCTAAATTGACTAGTTTCAGACACAAATAGATACATCTAGCATTAATATGGTGATTGTGAGCATGAATTAATTTCCACAAAGGAAAAAATCAAAAGGCAAAGAAATAATTTTAAGTAATACAGTTCTTCCTTGTGCATTTCAGAACAAGGATTATAGGAAAGTACACTCCTAAAACACTATGGGAATCATTGGCATAATGAACTGATAAAAGCTTGAAAATTAATTTCTCTGCTTTTCCATAGGAAAGGTAGATCACAGCCAGCAGCAATGATCCTTCTCACATGCTCTGCTTCTTCCAGTGCACCAGATACAAATTCAAAAGCAGCACACACAACTGAATTTTTGTGCCAGCTTAAACTTCGGCTTACTTTCAAAGATGATAAATTAATGCCAACATTTTACTTATATGAAACCCATTCATTATGTCTTTCACTGAGACCACCAGTTAATTCACCATTTAGACGTGTTTACACCTACCCACCAATCATTATGTTTCTACATGTGAATGTTCCTGAACTTTAAGGAATAATGAAGGATTTAACACTAGAACAAACTGAATCAAACCCATTCATGAATAAATATCATGTCCATGCCTCACAGCTCGCTTGCTTTCTCTCAAATTCCCCTTCTTAGGAATATGAGTAGCTCTACCCTATGCTCACACTCTCTTTCTGCTTGAAGTCTCTCAGTTCATTAGTCTTCTTTCCTCTCTAGTCTCTCTTCATGCTTTCCACTATGTATTTTGTAGCGCACACAAAACCAGCTGTGGTACAAGTGTGATATATATGGAGCTCTAAAAAGAATTTATAATCTCAACTGATTCTCTTGCAATTTTGCAGGAGTAAAAAACCTCCACAAAATATTTAATTTTACTTGGGTTTGAATTGGTGTTTTAATCAGTTTCTGAAAAAGATAAATTGTGTCATGGTGTTTTTTGAGCAAAACAATATATTAAATCAAAGTGAAACCACTGAACATTTAAATTATTCAGAATGTGTTTCTTTTCTATAGTGAAAGGAAAAGACGTATTTGTCTAAAACGTTTTGCCCAAATCTAAGTCTATATAGATAACACCAGATGAAGGTATAAACAAGATTTGTGGGGATAAAGCATTCCCGGTACAGTACTGTTACCTCTAACAGCTGTTTCAGTGATAAGGAGCCAAAGAAACTCAGTCACATAAAATACAAGCTTAGCAGTGTCCTAAATCTAGCACATTTTCCCCACACCAAGAAACTGCATCAAAAAAAGAGAACCAAAACAAAACAAAAGAAAAAAACCACCAACAACCAACCAACCAACCAACCAACCAACCAAACACACACACACAAAAAACCCAAACCCAAAAAACCCCCGAGGAAATCTCAAACATATTCCAAAGCAAACAAAGCAAAACGAAATAAAATTACTTACTGTCTTCTTCAACATTTTGATGGCGTAAGGTTTCTGGGTCCCTTTCTGCCTGCATCTGTAGACAATGGATGTAGCCCCACTAAATTAAAAAAAAAAAAAAAAGGCAAGAATAGTTGTATATACAACTCTTTGAACTTGTCAGTAAACAGAGTTGCCTAACTGAAACTACATTTTCTATTCCTCCCACTTTGGGCAAAAATACTACACTTTTCTCCACAAATGCAAAAAAAAAAAATCAAACAAAAAACCAAACAACAACAACAAAAAACCAAACACAAAAAACCACACACAAAAAACCCCAAAACAAACCAAAAAACCTCTCTGATGAATCAGTGAACTTCAACAGTTATTCAGCCAACAGAACTTCCGAGAGCTCAGGGTGCTTTTTTGGTCACACCTTTTCCGTCTCCTGACAATTCCTGAAGGTTTCCTCAGGGTATCAAGTGAACATATCTTGCCCCAAACCTGTGGCAACCTATCTTGTCTTTGTTAAGGCAACATTTGCAAAAATTAGTTGCATTGGGTTTTTCCCTAACTGTTGATGGCAGTAATGCTGAGACAGAAAAGACAATTGTTGTGTTGCTCCCTGCCCAGTTGCAAAACCAGCCAAATTTGGCACCAGATGGAGCAAGTAGCACTTTTGGTTAATTCAGTGGAATCTGGTGGGGCTTGTTCATAGCAAAAGTGAACTGGAGTTACATCTTCTGGTTGCCTTCAAGGTGTACTTACTTGAATGTGTTAAATCTGAGCACTCATAACATAAAATTATAACTCTGCTAGGTGGAAGGCACTTCTCTGAGTGGGAGGTTGGGCTAGACAATCTGCAGAAGCAGGCTCAACTTGCTGTGCTTTACTTTTTACCATCAAGGAAGGGACCAGTACTCTGTCAATTAGTTAAACAGAGGAAAAACCTCTGGAAAACCATACTGACTACAAACTATTCAGATAACTTTATATTATACCACAAAATTAATGCACTGAAGTGCTATGTGTCAGCAAGGAATTTAAGGCATTTTTGAATGCCTTCTGCCCTCAGGAAATTTGTCACCCACTCTAAGACTCAGCACTTCTGAGTAGCAGCAGATTTTTAAGCTAGAGGGAACTGCAGTTTTCACACATGACTTCCTGAATAACCACTGCAGAACTGCATACAGCAACTCTGCAGTGAGTTAATTTCATATATACCCCACACCAAATTGTATAGCAGATCTCTTAACCAGAGGCAACCCACTTCAGTATGTCTATAGGAGATGACCACGAGCTGCACAATGACATGAGCAGCTTTCTTTTGAACAAGCAACAAGAATGGCACAGCCATTCTTGACTATGTGAATAAAGATATGACACAAGTTTTTTTATTCTGAGTGCAGTGCTATACAAAACTGCCATGCGTGCTCTGCCCCCTCAGCATGGGCACAGGTGCCAGATAAGGCTCTGAGTAGGCACATCCATATTTTTATGAGTACATCTGTGAGCACAAGAACTGGCATTTGATTGAGGAGATTTGTTCCAGAGAGACCTCTTCATCAGGAAGGATCACCTACGGCAAGGGTTATGCAGCATAATCATTTGAGGTCTTGTGTGCATCACACATAAAGTAATCTTCACTTCATCTCAAATGTTAAAATGATTTGTCTCTCATAACAGTGTATTGATAAATGTGTGGGAGTACTGTAAGCTTAAGTGACTCCCAGAATCATTACATGAATATAATTAGATCTTCTCTCCTTGGCCAAATCCAATGTAGCAAGTAGAAAAACCTCTACCACATTAAAAAAACCCCTCACATCTTTTAAATACAAACAAAAATGATAAAAGGTAGAATTCTAAGAACCTGCTGTAATAAGTTTTCTATCTCCAGTATTTCACTTCAGGACTGTAACGGAGAATTCAGTGCATAAACTGCAAATCACTCTTGTACCGTGCTTCACATATGCAGAGTACAATATCAACATTAAACTCAGTAGTTTACATGTGCTCTTACTAAATAGGTAGTGCACTTTCTAATAATTATTGTATTTGTATGAGAGCAGAATTAGATAAGCTGTGCAACTGATGTTCCAAATAAATAGATTACCATTCCTGTGCACATTTCTAGGTGTTCACTGATGTTGTAGCAATGGAGGACAGTAACTGTCTCTCAGTAGTGCTTGTGTCACTGTTTGCTTTACCAGTTTGTAACCTGGTGCTGCAAAATCTTCAATGTGAATAAGAACCTATGCAGCAGAACACCCCTGATGATTTAACAGCAGTGCCTTCGTGATGAGACAGACAGCTATACCACCAAGGATATTATCACACCACCTTTAACTTGACTGTACCCAAGGCTGGAAGACAGGCAGTATAATGCTTGAAAAAGGAATATGACAGTCTGGGGACATGGGAATTTACAAGAGCGAATCCAGATGAGCAGTTTGACATCCAGCTCATTGGTCACTGTTCAAAACACACACAGAGGGACTACTTCAGAAATTATTCCCTGTTGCAGAGACTTCTGACAGCACATCCCTGGAGTCCTAATTTGGGGAAATACTTTTGACAAAATATCACAGGACTTGGAAACATTTTCAAAGAGTTCACTTCTAGTTTATGTGTCTATGCCCAGTTCTGACAGTCATGTTCCCACCAGCCAGGAAAGAGATCACCAAGCTAGCAGTTAACACTGCCTTCATCTTCCATGCTGGCGACCAGCACTGGAACTCAGGAACAGGATGGCAACCTGCTTACACCATGCCTGGTGCAAAACTTAGCAGAGAACTACTACTGACTAGTACAGACCTGACTCCTTGTCTGTTTGGTGATAGCAGGATCTCTTTGCTTCTCCCCATTTGAAAAAAAAAAAAAATGTGGTGGGAGGTGGCGGGGTTTTCAAGGGGTCTTAACGTAATGTGCAAACAGAACTGCCTCATGCAAATAAGGGCTTCTTTTGGCTTCCTGCTGGAGCTCAGCAAGTCTTCTGCTGAATCAGCACATGCAGCTTTCCTGAGACTGTGTGACTTAGAAGGTCACCAGTTGGAGCAATCCAAGCTTTCACCACCAAAGAGCAATGGGAAGATTCAGATGCAAAAATCTCACGTGCAACTGAAAAGCTGCTAACCTCTTGTCCTTATCCTAAGCTTTTTCACATCAAACCTTGACTGTCATCAACCAGGTTCTCAGAACCTCTTCTGGAATTTGCATCAATGGAAAATTTCTTTGATACATTTGGTCAGAATACACAAATATGCAGAAACCAAGAATTCTTGTGGCAACATGCCACTTTCCACAGGCGTGGAATTCATGGCCAGATAGGAAGACCACAAGGCTCTCAATGTCCCATTTTCTGCAGGTGGTGTTTCCCTTCATCTAAGTGATAAATATCAATAGTGCTATAGAAAGAGATCACCTAAATTCAAAGGTTAAGGCACAGATTTGATAAACAGCAGATAACAACACTGCAGCATTAACAGTTTAAATGAGAGGATCCTGTGAAGAAACTGAGAAGACCCTAAGCCCAAGCAGCTACTATCACTTGCAGCAGTACCTTGCAGTGTGTGACTGACAAGCAACTCATTCCAAATTCAGCCCAGAAAACAGAAATTAAGCCTGTCATATTCCATAAGATTACTCACTGTATTGTGTTTGTCTATCTGGAATTGATTCTGTTGGTTCTTCCCTCTTTATAGTTAGTGAATATATACATATGTATCTGTCTTTGCACATATTTGTACACATTTATACAAAATATTTGATTATGTATATTTGTGGATGTAAGCATGCATTTATTTGCTTCTAAAGAAAATTAGGCTTAAAGGAGCATTCAGTGGCTGCTGCTTTTTTGCATCTCTGCCTGTAACAATCTACCTGAACTAAAAAAAATATAAATTATTTGAAGTTAGCTGGAATAATACCAAAAAAGAGGCATATTCTCCAAATATGTAATTGGCCAAGTTAGAGAATACTATTTAAAATTCCTGCATGGTTGAAAATATTGTCATTCTCTTTTACTGACATTCATGTTTCTGTTTGGAAAGCTGCTTAACAATTCTGTTAAAGATTTACTTTTAAAAGCCCGGGTGTAAGAGTGAAAATGCTAAAGAACAACAGCAACAACAACTACTAAAAACCTAGATCATTTTAGTGCATGTGGTATATACTTTACTACATAAATCTGCTTTTATACTCAGTTTTGAACTTAGAAAAAGCCTAAAAATAATGTATACATCTTAACTACTTTGTCAGAATGAACAACCAAAGCACCACCTAAAATGAGGCCAACAACTCATGAGAAAGCTTATGATGTCCTGTGCATGGAATGTATCACAGCTGTGACACAAAAAAGTCAGTATTAGCACAGAAATAGTGAAGTACAAAATACTGAAGTACAAATACTTCAGCACACAATAAACTCATTCATTAGTCAAATGATTGCTTTAAAAATTTAAGGTATTAAAAGTGCCATTTAATATGTGAAAATAGACTAAGAATTAATGACTGATCTCTGCATTTGTGTTGCTTTCCACACAAATTCAAAAAACATTTTTAAAATATTTAAGATGTATGTGCAAAACTTCTCCCCCCCTTCCCCAATATACAATTCGTTGAGTGTTATGAATTATTTTTCTTCTTATTATCTTCACATGTTACTGAATTTCCAATTATTTTAGAAGGACACTGTTTTAGAGGATGGACAGTGGCACCACAGTGCCCTGCCTGTGCTACAGAGTCCAGACTGTGAAACGGAGAGAAAAGGCATGGTCACACTTCAAATACATGCAGTCAAAAATAGTGGTGTCAGCACAGATGGAAGGAAGGCAGAGACGCCCAGGAGGGGTGTTAAGGAGGTGGAAGTGATCGGCAGAATTTGCACATAAAGGAGAAAATGGAATTTGCAGGATCCCGCAGTGTAGACTGGCAGAGAGACAAAAGGCAAAGCAAGAAAAGAGAGAATTTGACCCAGTTTGGAAAAAGCCTTTCTTCCCCCAAACCCACAAAAAGCTTCTGCCTCTGAAACAGGAATGGCGACCAAAATGAAATGCAGCCATGTGTTTACTTGCTCATAGTAATTAGGACAGATGAATTCCTAGAGCTGCAGTTTTT